TTTTTTTTTTTCACTGTTCTCTCCGTATTTCTGCATAAACGTGTTATATATGGATGTATATAACATTCAACTCTGCTTTTACCTTTAATCACCGAGCATTTCCCGAACCCGATAAAGTTTGCCAAACTGAAATGAGTTTGCTCGCGGCGTTGCACAGTCCCCCGGGGGATCGCTACTGTGCGCACACGACCGCCATGCGCATAAATATATACCTACTTGTTTGTACATTGTCCGCCTGATCAAGTTACCTATACATGATTTTTCAACAAACAAGTGGACGCTGCGACGCTGAAAAAATAGTGGTTACGCGCGTGGTACATGTCCGATTGAATCCTGAGATAAACTACTGAAATATATCAAGTTCACGCGCTACGCGTATCGCTTCGTTTCTACATCGATTTCAACGATGCTTTATCTCCTCCAAGAGTTGGTTCTGAAAATCATTCGAGTGAAAAGTAATTGCCGAGTAATAAAATTACACGCCAGCGTTGCTGTGAACAAGGCACGGAGTCGGCCTTGAGGAATTTCAATATCGGAAAAGTCTTTACGCGAATATCTTTGTTGTGGAAGATTTTTTTTTTTTTTTCCTACGCGATGTACGGCCAACAAAGGGAAATATCTATCACCGCAGCAATAATAGCTTCGAGCGACAGTCATCGAGAGCAAAATATTTTTTAATCTCGGCAGCAACGAACAATCAATTCGCTCTCGACTCCATATACCCCGACACGTCTGTAGCCATGTTCTTCCGGCTAATCCTTCGAATCCCCGAAAAATCAATCTTAATTAAATTATTTTTGCCCACTCGTTCCCCCTTGGCGCCTCACCCCCGAACGACCACGGCAGCTGGCTCGCAACCAGGTATTCACGAGTCTTGGCAAGAGCCGCCCGCTGCGGGTAAAAGCCACTTTACACCTCGCCTTTTTCCCCCCTCTATATATACTTTGCACTTTAAGTTGTTCCCCGAAACGGATGTCCAAAGTCAATCGGGATCAATCAACGAAAACCAAGGAAATTCGCGGGAAAAAAAAAAAAAAATCATATATGGACTCTACTGTCACTGTTGACGACAAACTTGGGCCATATCATCATTATACGCACGTAAATCAAAAATAAAACTTTTGCTCAAGCTCCGCGACACATTCTCTGCAACTTGTAGTCCATCGTATGTATAAGGTAATTACGCGACCTCTCGTGTATACATTGAAATAGAGAGAGCTGCTAATAATAATATCATCATACGCGTGCACGTATACATACATATGTATATACTTGCCACGAGGAGCGTCACGTCAACGAGCACGAAAACTATCATCTCATCATCCCCAGCCCTCTTTTTGTCCCTATACTTTGTGTCACTATCTATCACGTTGTACCTACATATGCGCACGTGAAGCGTGGGAGCAAGCGCATCGCAAGGGAAGTCAAGAGCCCACTCGAGTGACGAGCAACGGTATATATCGGCACGCACAAAAACGCGGCCGTAGAAATTCATCGATCTCTTGTTTTTTCTTCTTCTTCTTTTCCCGCGCCACCGATTGTCGAGGGGCTACTATACCCCTGGAAACCTTCCATGGGTGCAGGTATACAGGGTGGGAGTTGGTATGGTACGTATCTACAACAAAAGAGATTAGCGAAGGAAAAAAAAAAAAAAGGCAACAAAAACCAAGCGATGAGAGGCAGATATCATTAACGACGGACACGAGTGAGGGAAAAAAGTAGGTGGATGATGATGATGATGATGATGAGATAGTCGAGGGAGGAAAAGAAGTCGGATTAGCACTCGCAATGGGCTAAAAGAGATAGCACGCGATAGATAGAGGTACAAATGAATAAAATAAAAGAACGACGGCGACGCATGCACGGGGGGTATAAATGATAGTACCTATATCCATCAGCGCTGGACTTGTGCATTAGGTAAGTATATATAGGTACACGTATGTGCAGTTGTTGTACTGCATTGTGGTACACACACACATATATATATATCCACAGCTCGGAGAGAGACATACGCTTGGTCAGCGTTGGCTGCAGGTTGCGCATGCATGCGGGGTGGTGTAGTCGGGCGGGAGGGAGAGGAGATGCGTGACCGCACGACTCTTTTGTATCGATCGCCCCTCGAGAGCAGAGAGGCGGAGGGGATGAGTAAGCAACAGCAACGAGGCAAGGGTTACATGTATTCCTCCTTTTTTTTCGCCTCGTGACGATCGCCCGCTAGGGTTATAAATATATACAATGGTTGCTGCGCGATGATGGTATGGTGCACAAACACACTTTTTCCTCCTTTGCCGACGCTGCGGCTCTCGTTGTTTGTCAAGCTTTTTTTTTTTTTTTTTTTTTTTTTTTCAACTCCTCTGTGTGCCAGCGTGGAATACCTACACTGGCCAATAATAGATTTCAATAGCGTCACACGCACATTTTTTTCTCTCTCCTATACTCCTCGTCGTTATGGTTTTTATCATCGTATCATGGGGACCAATCATCGTCATTATTATACATTTCTTTTTTTCTTTCTCGTCCTTTCAACGGACGGGCCATAAATTTCGTAAGGACTTTGCAATAAAAGACCGGCCCTGTGTGATACGAGGGATAATGACGCCCGAGAGGGTACATACACACACACACACACACACACACACACACACACACACACACACACACACACACACACACACACACACACACACACACACACACACACACACACACACACACACACACACACACACACACACACACACACACACACACACACACACACACACACACACACACACACACACACACACACACACACACACACACACACACACACACAC